ATTACACCTTTAAATGCAAATTAAATCAATAAATAATAGTTGCTTGTAAATCATCAGTGTGGTGGTTGTGGTCTTTCTGTGGAATTGGACTGGAATCTGCAGTTTTCTCACTTTTTACTTTTCGGGTAACCAGACTTAATAGTAAAAACTTTACTTCTGATCGAGATGCATGCAAAATAGAAAATAATTTCAGTTCAGGAAAGTAAACATGTATAGTATAAATGTCAGAATTTGACCACGTGAAAGGTTTTTTCCAGGCCGCCACATAACACTTAGGTTGTTTAAGGTGAGCTTCTCTTAACTAACACTAAAGGTAAAATGAATTTACATAATACCTCATGGTAATGCAAAGACAAGGATGATTGATGTATATGTGTCTGTATTTCTTCTATGTAGGCAGGTCGGAGCACTCGGCGGTTGCCAATCCTGCTCCCAGGTGAAGTGGAATTCCCGTGCAAAGTCCGCAGCTTCAGTGTACGCAAATATTTTTTTTTTAATCTTTGAGATTATAACACTCACTAATGAAAAGTCCCATTCAAAGCAGAGAGGTGAAAAAAGTGTGTGTGTCTGTGTGCGTGTGTGTGTGTGTGTGTGTGTGTGTGTGTGTGTGTGCGTGTTCAGGTGGCGAATGAGGTCGTGAGAGACATATGCACAGAGATGGGTGTGAATAATCCAGCTGAGGTGAAAGAATTTTCCATCCTTGCCACCCGTGGACAAGGTAAATACAGCCGCCTCTCAAACTCCCTCTCCATATTTTTCTCTCAGGCGCATTTACATTTAGCTTTTCTACCCAGGTTGTAGTCACACAGTGTATTACACGACCGCACTGACCCTAAAATCACTCTACAGCTTGGAAGTACACAGATACTGCAATCCATCACAGCAACTCTCTGTGTGAAAACTATCCATTAAGGCAATCTTGTGTTTTCATTCTTGCTTCCAGCCGTATCTCTTGTCTTCTGTTGTTGTCAACTCACACCACACTTCTTATCCTTTTAGACGGACAAGTGCGTCCCATTCACCCAGATGAGTATTTGTTTGACTTCCTGCTGGATGATGGCTCAATCTCTCTCTCGTTCCATCGTCTTGTCTGGAAATATCCCCTGCATTTTGAGAATGACCTCTATATCGAGTTTCATTACCATCTGGTATTGTCACATTCTCAGTCACATTTGCTGTATATCATTTATCTTTTCTTTGGAATGCTAAAGAATTGAGTCAAAAGTTTGCACTCCCTACTTCAAAATGAGATAACTAAAACGAACAAGGCGAAGTAAGTGAACAATAATTGTATTAGCCTTTAAGGGCAATCTCTCCTGAAGGTTTTTATTATTTTTCTTTTATTCTTTCATAGTATCTTTGTGTTTACATTTCTTACATATTTTCATTATGGTTTAAAGCACCCTTAAGCCGTTTGATGTCTTTTTATACCCATTTTCAGCTCAGTAAATGCTGTTTTATTTCTCATGAGAGATGCTTTAACTGCTCTCATAAAAATGCTTGAGAGGTTGAGCTTGTTTCAGCTTTTCATAAATAAGTCATAAATAAGATTTTTCTCAGCATACAGTATATAGTGTGCCATTAAACATCTTAATGAATCAAATAAATTAAGTGGAGCATGGGGGGAGTCAGTGGGGATGCAAACTTCACAAGAAAAACATGAAATGGAGTTACTGCTACCACCCCGAATAACAGCTATAAAAATCATTCTCTCTCTCTTTTCCCTCTCCCTTGAAGTTAATAAAACAACAAAAAAAACACTTCTAGGTCCTGAAGACTTTTCCATGGCAGAAAAGTCTCACAGAAAACTTCACCATATCTTAAAGTACACATATTTTTACAACCATTTATGAGAAGAATCCACTACATACAGTAAATCTCTGTGTGAGCTGTTACTATAGACAAGATAACATATTAGAACAAGCACATTAATGTAAACCTGTGGTTTGCCTTGTGGCTGGAACTATTGTCAGAGCTACTGTTACAGAAAATTAATCAGTACCTTCTGACCAAAAGATTCCACATCCCTGTTATAAATAAAAATAATGGGCTACTTTTATTAGGGGATGCAAACTTTTAAACCGTGCTTAAAAGTGAAACCTTGCTGTAATTAGTGTTGGCATGAAGACAGACAGATAAGTGAGCTGGTATTTCTCTCAGATCCTGATCGATTATCTGAGTGGGAAATTCCTCCTGCCTGGTAACAGCTCCACACTTCAGCAGCAGGTGGCAGAGTTGGCTGCACTTCAGCACCTCGCTCTGGGATTCAATCAACAGCCTACACCGTAAGATCCAGTACCAGAGACAGTACTATGTATTGTCTAATATACCTCAAGAATAAAAAAATTCATGCATTCCTTTAGGTCATGTATTGTACACTTATATGAGATGTTTAACCCATTTAGGCAAGAGCTCAAGCAGTATTTTCCCCATATGGATGGAATCAGTGCCAATGACCAAAATCTGCACAGTGCTGCACTGAGACAATTTTCTCTCATTGCAAATGTCAAGTCTACTGAAGCTAAAATACGCTTCATCAGTGAGTGATCTTATATCTTATATATGTAAATATTTCACATATTTATGTTATAGTGTCAGTCTGTGGGCCAAGATGCTGCTTGGTTTACATGATAACAGTTAATAGAAGGTCAACATGTCATCATAGGCCAAATAAGTATTTAAAAGTAAATTAGTTTGATTTTCCTCATCTACAGCCTGCTGATATTCATATCAAGCAATTTTGCCTAGTGAATCCCAGAAGATTAATCTGTAGGAACTAGGGCTGCATTAATGCCAATGTTTTCAGACTGAGTATAAGTTTGAGAACATGTTTTTGTTACTCATTGGTACCAATACTGTTACCGAAATGACTAACTTACTTAGCATTACGCAATCAGGGGAATCAAGGAACTTTTTATTTAGCTCTGTTTATGTTGCATGTGCTCCTAGAAATTAACTCCTCATGCTGGCTTTTATGTTTAAGATGTTATAGTCTTTAAACAGGATCTAGATAGGTGGGAGGACGGCCGACTCGAGTATGCAGAGTAGTAGCAGGGAGTGTGGTCATTTTAAATGAGCGCAAGGTGCCATGTTTTGCACCCCGACTCGCGATCAAAGTAAACCTGAAGTCTGTGTGTCTCAGTGCTCAGTGCTCGCCAAACTGAAGTGCTCTTGTGCACAGCAGCTTCTCTTCGCTGCTCCAATTCAAGGTACTTTGCGCTCATTTTTAATGACTACGCTCTCTATTAAAGGTATTGTTTAAATGCCATATTGTAGGAAGGTGCTGTAGTATCTCCTCTTGATATTTTCAGAGAGCACTGTTTGTAGTCTGCTTTGCTTTGATTGCCATCATTAATTGTGAGTAATAACAATTAATGCGTCCAGAGTGCTGTCATTTCATGTCATCTGTTCATTAGTGTTTACTAGGCTTAGGTCACATGGTATCACTTGGTATTGAATGATGGTATCAGAGCATTTTTTGTGAGTACGAGGAAATTATCACAGTATCAGAATGATACCCAATACCAGTATCTGTGTCAATGCACTGAGGAACATGCATCCTCTCTTTATGTTTTTTTTTTTCCTCAGAGACTCTCAGTTCACTGCACCTCTTTGGCTCAAACATATTCATGGCTCAGAAAGTCAGCCACAAAGGCTGTCCATCACCCTGTGTGGTGGCAGTCAACCATGAAAGCATCAACATTCTTCACCCCCAAACACAGGTAGAAATACCGATAATCTGACGTCAGCCATGCAAATTGATTATTCTAACAAAACCTCTTATTTATGGGTGTGTTAGCAATGTGACAGCCATTTTTGTTCCCGTTTAATTTGTAGGTGTCAGCCTTAACAATTCCAGTAGAGGAGGTGCAGTCCTTGCGCTCTATCAGTCCCAAGAAGGAAAAAGTGCCAGTAGTAGAGATCAACTTTGGCGACCCAGCTCGTGTTAACACCATCACTATTTATCTGAAACAGGTACAAAATCTGAAGTAGAGTCTAATACACACACGACATGGATTGATACATGTTGTATACATTTGTTTAAAAAAAGATGTCTAAGTTTCGTGTATATTTTATTTTCAAACCCACCCAGGCAAGGGAGCTTTGCCACATCATTGCTATAATCATGGAGCTAATGAGACCATCTACCAGGAACCGCACATGAACATTTTAGTAAGCATTACACCATTCAGCAAATGGTCTACACGCCAGCAAGCAGCTCGGTGCCTCGATGAATGCTGATGAAGAATTTGAGAAGTTATTACCAATGTTTACTTTTAAAAACTATTGTGAGAATTTGCACAACAGTTCATTAATCTATGGATAGCAATCTGACCGCCTTCATTGTGATTAGTTTGATTTATTCCTTTTATCCTAAAAACATATAGCCACCAACATTAAATGTTCTAAATTGTTCAAAAATGTTTTATATAAATGTGTTTATTTTTGATTATTTTCCTTTGTTTTATGGAAAAATAATGAAGGCAAGTGTATAGCCCATGTTATAAATTGTATCATTATTAGAACAAAATTAAAATATATATCCTCTATATGTCTATTTAAGTCTTCAATTCTGAAAAATAAACATATATATTGTACACGTGTGAGTCCTCATGATAATTTCTTTCATCTTTGTGCTGTATAAATCTAAAAAAAATCAGTTGTGCTGAATTTCATTATATTGAAAAGATGCATTTTCTAATAAAGTAGTCATGTCATGTATATACAGACACACACAAATACATAAACGTGTGTTTATAGATTCGATTAAACTGTATTGTCATTGTAGAGAGTACAAGTACAGAGCCAATGAAATGCAGTTTTTCCCCATATCCCAACTTGCTAGGAGGCTGGGGTCAGAGCATAGGGTCAGCCATGATACAGCACCACTGGAGCAGATGTGGTTAAGGGCCATGCCTAAGTGCCCAACAGCAGCAGCTTGACCTCTGGTTCAGTAACCCAAAGCCTTAACCATTCAGCCACCACCACCCAAAGGGATGTGTCAGAAGTGGGATTTGAACTCACACCTCCATTCAGAGACCAGAATACCCAGTAGTGCAGGAGGAACCCTTGCGTCTGGCACCTTAGACCACTCAGCCAAACTGACACAGGTGTAGGTGTGTGTGTGTGTGTGTGTGTGTGTGTGTGTGTGTATGTATGTATGTATGTATGTATGTATGTATGTATGTATGTATGTATGTATGTATGTATGTACGTACGTACGTACGCAAATATACATACATACATACATATATGAAAGAAATTAACCACGATGGGACTTAACAGAAAAATAATCAATGGTTAAGTGATATGGTCCGATTTATAGCGTAAGGTAGTGTAGTTACCACCCCAAAGCTGATTATTTTCCAATAAAACAGTTATTTCTTTTCTTCATCTTCTTGCCATTTGCCAACCCTAACAATTTTACTATTTTATTAAAGAATGGCATGTCATACTTTTTATCCATTTAGAGTTACATTAACATGGAATGTCTGCAAGACAATGTTCCTATTATTATTTACATTATTTCAGCTACAAACACACACCAGGCTCTCTTTTTTTTCCACACTTTTGAAGTTAAAAAGAAGAAGACAGCAGCATGTCTTGTTCGAACCCACAAAGTGCAAAATCCTCTGTCCGAAATTCTCCCATGCTGGAAAATTACTTAAAACTGAAGTTACAGTTTTATCTCAGACTGTAACAAAGCACTGACACTGGAGACTTAAAACCCATCTCTCAAAGACAACGTTACCATATAAACAATTACTATTTTATTAAAGAATGGCATGTCATACTTTTTATCCATTTAGAGTTACATTAACATGGAATGTCTGCAAGACAATGTTCCTATTATTATTTACATTATTTGCGTCCGCCATACAAGTCTCTGTGTAAGTCGCTACTAGGAGAAACAATAACATATTGGTATGAGCGCATTAATACGAACCTGTGATTTGTCTTGCAGCCGGAACTGCTGTCTGAGCTGTTGCTATAGGATATTACGCAAAACCTTCTAACCAATCAGATTCGAGAATTCAGCATACATCTGCCGCAACTGTACGTGACGTCGGCTAAATTTACGCCTTCCTCTGTCAGACCAATCAGACTAGAAAACAGAATTAAAGTCCCGCCTTTTCATAGATCTTGGCCAATGCCGTTCCTGCTCAGTTGCACACGCAAGAAAAAAACAGTCAAGCCCTGTAGATTTGTAACATGGCCGTCCGGAGGGAGTGGAGTCCAAGGTTTTGGGGACAGACATACGGCATTAGTTCAGCTGTGAGACTGACGAATGATGCTACGATTTATTCATGATGTAACTACTCTGTTCTGTAAGTTAATACTATTTGGAGAAGTCGTTTTTTTTGTTGCTCGTTCTGTATTGCCAACGCAGCATCAATTAGCAGTTACATTATAAACCCTGGAGCTGGGAAGTGGCTCCTCGCGAGCAGACACGGACGGGAAGACTTCTAAACGGCGCCTTGTTCAGAGTCTAGGGCCACTTATGAAATAGGTTAAGAAATACTCTCTATGATGTGCACTACATATCAAACAGAGATTCATTTGGGACATGGCTACGGTGCAGGTTAGTAATACTACAAAGCCAAGTGACCAGCAAGAAGAAGTAAATATTCTGAATATTTATTTGCACGAGTTGAAAAGCGAGTTATCTTCTTATTAAGTAGTTTCTTTTTAGTTTTAAAGACTTTTTAAGTTGTAAACATTAAACGTCTGTATCTGTAACATTGCCTTAGCTAGCTAGCTAGCTAGTCAGCTGTTTGTCTGTTACCTCAGTTACAAAGCTGCAGATGTTTAAATGATATGGGTTAAATAGTTATTTTAGAGGTGCCACAGCTGGCCAGATGTACACAGGATATTTTTTTAAAAAGCATCAAGTTTTGTAGGCATGTTGTAACTTGTAACTAGCTATTTAGAAAAGGGAGCAAGTCAGGACATGTCAGTAGTGAATGTATGTGATTCAGGTGAATGCAGAGGCATACAGCTCAGTGAAGTCTTCTTGGTCTTGGCTGTGCATTTAAAAGAAACACTAGATTTCCAAACAGTAGTTAACTTGCTGATAGCTTACACTTTGTACACTGAACCTAAGCTCTGTGTGTGTGTGTGTGTGTGTGTGTGTGTATATATACATATACACACAGTACTGTGCAAAAGTCTTAGGCACCCTATTTTATTTTTAGTACAAACTTTGTTATAGAGTTTTATTTTATGACTTCTACATTATCGAAACATTTTAGATTTCCAAACATTAGTTTTCCAGCACAAAATTAAATGTTACAGAAAAAGGTTTGTATGTCAGTAAAGAAAGCAGCATATTACATAAGAGACCACTTTTCAGACAAAAAAAAAAACAACCAAACAAAAAAAAGCTGGGTTTTGCTGCAAAAATAAGAGGCAAGTGTGACAAAGTCTCCAGAAGAACTGTGGCCGCTTCTGCAAGATGCTCAGTAAAGCTTAAAAAACTGCACCTGAGACTACTTTTTTTTTTTTTAAGGTGAAGGATCGTCACACCAAATATTGACTGTGTTTCATTTATTACTGTTTACTGCTCTTTATAGTGTTTTTTTTAATGTAGAAACATTTAGTTTCATTATTTTTGAAGGCATCTTTGCTCTACAGCATTTCTTTGCATGTGCCTGAAGTGCACATGATGCACGATGCATGAAGTATGACAGGCCAATTATCTCAGTGAATGAATGAACTAATGAAAATAAGTGAATATTCAAATTCCTGGCGCGAGGAAGATTCTGTGTATCTGTAGTTCTTGTCATTCTTTCCTGACAATGTCTTTAATGGCTGCGTCTTTATGTATTTTTTTTTTGTCTGGCATACTATTAGTGCATATGCATGCCATTTTTGCTCTGCACGGTTCTGTATTGTTCTCAAGTTGCTCATCATTTCCACGTCCCTGCATGTTGCTGATTTGTAAAAATGTTTACCTGTCATCACAAGATAATTTATCTGTCTAGTACAAACTTGTCGATGTGTGTAGTGCAGCAGGTGGTGAAAGCATGAAGCAACATTTAAACACATGCAGACAGAAGTAAAAATTGTGAAAGTCAGTGGGGTGTTCGTTCTTTCTCTTGTCAGTGGATGGGAGAAATGAGACGGGTAACCATTTTCTCAAACACTTGCTATGTAGATATTTAATAAACATACTAAACCTACCTAATTCTTAACTACGAATTAAAAAAAAAAAGCTAATAGTCTGTCTTGGGTGCCCGGTATAGTCATGGCGCAGATCTGGCACGTAAACGCAGACCACCACTTGTTTTAACGCATGCCTTCTTCATGCTTCTGACATTTTGCAAAACTTGGCAGTAGAAGTTTGCTGAGAATTGTCTTAGCTTCCCTGAAGATGTCTGTATCACGTGTTGGCTAATATTCAGACCTCTCATATTGATAACGTGTTAAAATGGAAGAAAAGGAAGAGATGTGTATTCCTACTATTAAGTGGATGTGGAATTTTTTTTTGCTTCTTAAAGACTTATGGCGTAATCCAAAGCCTTTCGTCACATATCAACATTTTAACCTTTCACATTTTAAAGATTATAAATTAGCTAGATGTTGTTCTCTGGACTACATTTAATTGCACAAGCTGATGTCATTTTGTTGTTTTTTATTCCACAGATTAGTGGTATCGGCCCATGAGAATAATTCTGACTCATTCGAAAGCACTGTAGTGGAAGCGGAAGCAGCAGCTGCGGTTGCCGCTCGCTGGATGCACCCTGTCTCTCAGAGCGAGGTTGTTGTTTCTCCTCTCACACTGGCAGTACTGTTAGGATTAGTGTTTGGGGGCCAGCGGACGTGTTTACCTGCAGCAGGACGGGACTCGGCCCTGACGACCAGCGTCACGTCTCCTCACGGAGCATGGTGAGAGAGCACGGGTCACCATGGAGCTGCACGATAAGATGCAGGTGAGTTCCTGAGCCGCCTCCACTCTGGGGATGAGGGCACGTGATAGCTTTGCATTTACATTTACATTTATTCATTTGTTCACTTTTATTCAAAGCAACTCACAATTGAGCTGAGCAGTTTCAGCTCAGTTCAGGGCTTGCTCAAAGGCCCGACAGTGACAGCTTGGCTGTACTGTGATTCAGCTCACAACTTTCGGATCAGTAATCCAGAGCCCTAACTGTGATCCACCACTACACATTTGCTATGCAGCCTGCTTTTACAGTTTTGTCTGATCAGCTTTTCCCAGTGCCACTTCTGCTTTCTGTATGCCGTCCTTCACCGATCTGTAAACATTCGACTTCTCCACACCGCAGTTTTGATCCTTGTTGATTTGTTGATAAGAGAAAATCTGGATTTAAAAATTATCTGAAATATTGTCCCGCAAACTTGAAAAGTCTGAGATTTACTTATTACTTATTCTCTATTCTGAATATTAGATTAAACATTTAGAAAAAAAAACATGACCGCAAAGGCACAATTAATAAAGGAGAATGTTGATCCACCTTACATCATCTACCGAAAGTGAACATGGTCAGCTCTTATATGCAGTCTGAAGAATTGAGAGATTACTGTAAGACTCGGACTAATAAAAGAGAAGGTTTATGTGTTGATGGACAGAACTGGACAGTGTCTTTGGTGATGAAGCATCGCGCTTGCATCCTCGTTTAACGTTTCAGCTGTGAGCTGTCGTGTTATAAAAATGTTTCGGGTCACTTTCAAGTATTTACATGGTGAAACGAAAAAGAACTGGAGTCAGTGTTTTATGGTATGAAGATGTTCCCTTTTGCATGTGCTCAGTTCAGCCTGTATTATTTCTCATCAGTGCGGAGGAAAGAGAATTTCATCATTAATTTGAGCGTGATCTTGAAGCTTAGTGTCACTTGTGCAAATCCTCAGCTTGTTAGTCTAATGCTTACTGATTGATTTCTGAGCTGCGAGAAGGCAGAGCAGTAAAGGTGAGGTCCAGCGTGACTGATGCTTGTTGGAGCTGCGTCTGGGACACAGGGGTCACTGAGGATGCTGTCTGTCCCTCGCTTGCTGTCCAGCCCACAGCGCCGCCGCTGAGACAGCAAAGTGCTGCGTTTGCTGAAACGGGTGAATGTTTGCTATGCAGAGGCATAAGGGCGTCTATTT